ATTCACCAAAGAAGAACTAATGGTTGACAGCATGATCGTCGACGTCCCATTGGGCCGCAGCGAGCATGCAGTACTACTCAGCGAATACATTTGCTATGCGGAATATCCCGTGGAAATCGCCGACACAAAGATAAGGTATGTACGTTAAAAGACTAGGTGAGACAGCCAAGTGGAAATTTCTTTCAGATGACGCACCTGCCAGTGCACGGGAACATTTCGTCAGCCAGCTTAGCTCTCTGATTGCAGTAGCGTCAGCGACTAAGACCTTCCGCCTGAGAATCATGATCTCGTTGTGAAGCAAGACTCGCAAGTGTCTGGAGGTGCGAAACTCAGCTTGGCATAGCTACAAACTTCCCAAGCACCAAGAACTGCATGGCGAATACCACCCAACGTAACCACTGTACTCAGCTTGTTCGCGAGGACAGAATGGCGTACCAGCAGATGTTGGCAATGCGTATGACCTCAAACCACAAACTTCTGTATCAACACGTCAACCGTCTAGGTAAGGTGAAAGGGGGAATTCCTCTTCTTCAAACAGCGGTCGGACCCACATGGACATCGAAAGAGACGGCGAACAACCTCCGCCTACAATATACTGCAAGATTTCAGTGCGATCACTGGCCACCTAACCCTCTGGAGATGGTTGTTTTACTCCAAAAGCGCACTCACATTTTCCTCACACCAGAACCTGCAGTAAAAATGCTGTTGAGTATGCTCAAGCACAGCTCTCCTGGAGTTGATAATTTGCACAGGAAATCGATAGCGGCAGTAAGAAAGCGTTTAGCTGACTATTTGGCTTGATTCTTCCAACACTAATTTGAAGCAACGTACGTACCCAACATGGAAAAACACAGAATGACTACTCCTATTCACAATGGAGGTAGTCGTTCCGATCCAGCCAACTATCTTCCCAGAATATTACTGCCGGTTCTTTCAAAGATCATGGATACTAATACTACTGACGCGTTAACGGCCTACTTGGAAGAATTTAACTACCTCGCACCGGAACAGCATGGCTTCTGACGAAATGGATCGTGCACTACAAAGCTATTAATAGCACTATCTATTTGGACTGAAGTAATAGACTCTGGCACAGAAGTTGACTTGACTTCTCAGAGGCGCTCGACCGGTTAGACTATAACATTCTGCTCTTCATACTCCTGACATTTGGTTTAGTGACCCTCTCCTAGGATGGATTGGAAACTTTCTCCTACACCGGCGCTTGGAAGTCCGCTTGCGTGATTCGATGGCAGATCCCATCCAAGTTGAATGTCGAGTACCACAGGGATCGGTAGTAGGACCGCGACAATTTGTGACGTATATTAACGATATTACACGCATCATAAGCTCGAACCGCCGTCTGTATGCCGATGACATGAAAGTGTGATGGACGATCAAAACACCAGACGATATCATAGTTCTTCAAGCTCATCTGGATAGGGTATACCAGTGGTCAATTCAGAATCTACTTAGATTCAATGTGGACAAATATAAAGTGCTGTACCTACTACACAAATTGGTGTACTCCTACAAACTCGGCAACCAGGAGCCTCAAACGTCTTCTGGCGAGAAGGATCTGGGAGTTTTGTTCAGGTCTACACAGGATGTTGGAAGCAGGTTGAAACGGCGTCTAGGAGGGACATCTATCACGTGCGACTCCTGAAACGTGCATTTGGACGACGTAACTGTTCGATTTTTCCACAACTTCTCGGCTCATACCTACGGCTACATGCAGAACGCGCAATACAGGTCTGGCAGCCATGGTTGAGGGGAGATCTCATCACCTTGGAGATACCCCAACTCTGGGCAACCAAGAATATTAAGGGTCTGTATACTTTGCAACATAAACGGAAGCTACAAGTGTTCGGGGTCTTCAGCGGACAATATCGGCGATTGCGTGGGGACCTCACTTTGACGTACCAAATTTTGAGAGACCCAAAGCACAAGTGCCGCTTCTTACTAGAGCAGAGTCACAACAGCAATTAGAAAAGTCACTATCTCAAACTGCCAGATCAACACAGTCGCTTGGAATGCCGTCGGAATTACTTTCCCATATGAGTTTACCGACAACATCCGACCAAAGGCTCTGCAGGCGGTAGCTAGTGATCTAGCAGAACCACTGGCAGTTCTCTATCAGCGATGTCTAGAAGAGAAACGTATTCCACCAGTATGGAAGCGAGGGCTCATCACTCTTCTCCATGCAGGAGGTAGCCGCACCGATCCTGCCAACTAACGTCCAATAACACTACTTTCCGTACTATCCAAAATAATGGAATCAATCATGGCAGATGCGCTGATGCAGTATCTGGGAAGCCACAACTTAATAGCCCCACAGCAACATGGCTTTCGTCGAAAGCGTTCGTGCAATACTAACCTATTAATTGCACGTAATAGTTGAACTGAAGCTGTGATGATGGAGTGGAAGTCGATGTCATCTACCTGGACTTTTTAAAAGCGTTTGATCGCTTAGAACATCGAATTCTCCTTCAGAAGCTTCGGAACTACGGCATTGGCAACCCAAACCTGAGTTGGATTATCAATTTTCTACAAGAACAACGGCAAGTGGTGAGAGTCTGCGAGTCATTGTCTGATGCAATCGATGTGGCATGTGGAGTACCACAAGACTCGGTTCATGGACCTCGTCTATTCTTGGTGTTCATTAACGATTTGGCGAGATAAATTGCTTCCGATTTCCTCTTTTTCGCTGATGATATCAAGACATAGCGAAGGATCAGAGAACCGGACGACCATGAACGGCTCCAATGCGCTCTTAACACAGTGTCGAACTGCTCAGCTCAAAACGCCCTACCTTTCAACGTAGACAAATGCCGCGTTGTACAATTACGCCATAGACATAACTACACGCATTTACTTGGGACAAACTGATTGCAGACCAGCTCCCAGGAACGTGACCTTGTCGTGCTCGTACAGAGCGACCTCAACTGTTCAAAACAGGCTGAGGTAGCTGCAAAAAGAGGCAACCAGCACTTCGGCATGCTGCGAAGGGCATTTGGGAGATTTGACCAATGAATCTTCCCAAGGATGCACAATTCCCAGGCGCGCCCGCATGTTGAATACGCTATCCAAGCTTGGCAACCTTAGTTGAAGCGCGACCTAGAAACGTTACAGGCACCACAATGAAGAGCAACAAAGAATATAAAGGGCCTGCGCTATCACTCTTACCACTGAAGGCTGAGGTTGCTGGGAATTTTCAGCGGACGCTATCGAAGGCTGCGCGGTGATCTCATATTAGCTTATCAGATACTGAGTGACTCCAACCACGTATGCCGCCATTTGCTGAAACTTAGCCACAACACGCAGCACAAGGTAACTGCATAAAATTGAAGGCACAATACAGCCGTCTAGAGTGTTGACGGAATTACTTTTCCCTTCGGGTTGGCCAGCCCTGGAACGCACTCCCAGACTCAGTGATATCCTCTCCTACCTTCTCGCAAGGCGCTACTCGATATTGGAACAAGGGAATATTTTTGTCAGAATAAACGACAGCGCAATTTGGCAAGTTGCGCTCCGAAGGTCCCGCTTTTCCATTATGACCCTAGTTCGTATTCGGTTCGCATAAGACTGTTCGGAGTTAAAAAACCGTGTGGGCTGCCTACATAGTAAATTAAAATTCATATGTTCGTCTGGTGGAAAAATTCAGCTAGCCACTTGCCATTTCATGAATATCAAGCGCAGCTTCAAGTTTACGCATTAGTTTGGGTATTGTTTTGAGGAGGGGCAACCGGAACAAACCACACGGAGGATCTCCAGCGACTTGAAGGATAATGCTCCCATAACAAAATTTGAAAAGTACCATTGTCCGCCTACAGAATCTGTTGTACTTTTAAAGATCTTACTTGTTTGGCCTATTTGAGCGTCCCATTGTATTTCGCGCTCCCGCTTCTTGCCATAACCATCTACATTGTCGATATTACAGAGTAATATGAATCCTCCTCTGCAGGATGTACGACAAACTAAGTCATGTTGATCAATGAGGATTTAAGCGCGACCTAAAAACATGTGACGGCGACGTTCAGTGCCAAAGACTTACGGTAAAAATACTGTGAGCTGCTTGCCAATCACTTGTTCATTACCAGATGGAGGAGCAACCGAAGTAAATATTGGTGTTAACGTATGGGGAAAGTAACTGCAATACACGAACTGAATTTAACGTTGACGGTCTCAAATCGCTGCGAAGTGTATTGGCCAACTAGGAGGTGACAGATGTGGTTAGCAGAGTTAACTGGACTGCTTCATGATTGGCCCATGGAATAGTGGCCATTGAATATGCTTCCATGTCACATGTCTTGCTGGTCCAACGGTCGACTCATATAAACGGATGCAGCACATGTAGACGCCCAGACTTGTCTAGCGATGTATTCGCAAGAGATTCTGTGTTTTGGGCTTTATCTACTCGGAGCTCAGAGCTGTAAGTATGAAACTTACCACAAATTTAACATTTAAAAAATAACTAATACGAATCATGTTTATGTATGTCCATAAACAAATGCGCAATGTATGTCAAAACATGACTCATTTAGCGTGTGTATTACAATTGGTTCAAGTAGTGTACATTATTTTGGGACCAGCAAAAACAGACATTGGGGTATTTCTTGCTAATATGGACAAATAAGATAAATACAAAAATGTGGGATTTAGGTAGCAGAAATCGAGTGCGTGTTCCAGTCATTTATAACGAGAGTTCTCATGAGAATATAAGTTTGCAGATGATAGAGTTAATAAAGGCAGATTAATTGAAAACCATTTAACAATTTCTCGGTTTATTTTTTGTCATGTTCTTGTAAAGTTTAGAATATGCAGTGCTTCCGTAAACAGGTAACTTCTTTCAATCATTGCGCTTAAATTTGATCCCTGAGATTCGTTCCACATTAGAAATATTGTTCTGGCGTTGGGAGCGATTACTCATAATTGCCAAAGTGCACACTTAACCGCCGTTTGTGCAAAATGTATACAGACAATTTCTTGTTACGCAACTACTAATGCCCTTCGCCTACTGTTTTGTAGTTTATTTATCGGTCTCCATTACGCAAGATGAGGAACCAAAGGTGGATTACCTGAAAGGAACTCTTGGTTCTAACATTAAGAAGCACTGCAACAAACAGGTATGTATCGTTTGCAATTGAATGTGCATCGGATTAATTTAACTTCCTTTACATAAGGAAAATAATATATGCAATCATTTCCCATAGGTTACTTACGATACAATGCATTGAAAACTTTCTTCATACTCTTTATGCCTTTTCAAATCCTTAAAAAGCTCCATCCCTTCGCGTTATGTAGGGCCACAGTTTGGGGCTTCCTGTTTCCGCTAACCCCGTAGTGTACCGATGGCATTACGATCCCAGGAACAATGACCTAATGTGTGTGTGTGATGCGTACGGAACAAAGGAGAGAAACGGGACGTTAGTGCAATCGTTTCAAAACGCAAGAGCGATTCCAGCCATGATGCTAGCGGACTTCACTCAATGTAAGTCAAAATGCGGATGTTGTTTCTCAGGTATATTTCCGGATATTCTTAAAAGCAACCTACTAAAAGAAGTTTGATAATGCCAGCTCATCAGGACATGGTTGAAATAGGTTAAAAATTGCGCGTTAAAGGTTGAGTTTAAAAGCCTTTAACCAGTGTTCATTAGCTAATTCAACTGAGATAATGAAACTCCAGCGATCTACTTTTCAAATATGTATACAAAATAAAGTTTAGAATCCATCACCTGGTGCTGCTTAATCCGGCAAACCATTTAAACAATCACACATCATGTAAATCAAGCGAACTGAACCGCTTACTTTACTCCGAGTTAGGCAATAGGGCAAAAATGCCAGCAAAATGAATTGGATCACTAACCATGTGAATGGAAGGGATCAGCGTCCGCCAATTGTAGGCCAAGTTCTCAGAACGGATTGAAGTGACGCGGTCCATCACGTAGCGGATCTAGACTATAGCTGTCTACCGAGTCTTGATACGGATCGCGACCACCAAATGCCCATCATTCCCCAGTGAGTGAGAATCAAACTTGAGCGATAGAGAGCTTGTTTAAGATGAAAGTGCCAAGCTGCGGCTATGGTGAAGCGGATATACCATGCTAGCTATGGCACATATAGTTGAACCGTTGACAACGCAGTTAAAATCGAGCGCGATTCCAAGTCGTGGATGTCGCGAATGTGGGTCGTGATGTTCCTGAACAAGATGCTGCTAAACTGCGGTCAAGAACTTCATAATCATAAGTGCAAGGCAAAGCTAAATATGTTTTACAGGGATTTTACCCTTAAAGAGAGAATCGTTTGACCACGTTATGCTAATTTACGTACATATAAGCAAGGCAATGTAGGCACTAGTATTCAATGTATAGCACCTAGTATTTGGTACCTGGTATTTCTTATTAATTAGTAAATCTGGTTGTTTACCAACTTCCCGCAATCGCTTTGGTTCGCCTGTACGTTGGGAATATCCCAAGACGTCATATGCATTTATCGCACGTACATATGACCCTCTTGTCCTTTTCTTTGACGTTCTTTTTTTACCTTGATACGTGATTATTAGACCAGGTGATGATACTCGTTTGTTGCGGCTGTTTGTCTTTATCCACTCGTTGAGCCATTTTTTACATTTTGTCTGCCGACATATCAGGCGGATTAAAATGGATGACTTTAACTTCAAGGAGGACTCATTTTCCTATGCATAGCTAACATATTCAGCAAGCAGATAGAGCAACAAATTATTTGGGAACGTTATGTGAAAACGAAAATCTCCAAAGCCATATTGAGAACGATGGTTAGTCGCTAGAAACTATTAGATCTAACATTGTTTCTTCAGCTACTGGTCACTTGATGGTGAAGTTGGTTAGAGTGTCTACTGTAGAACAAGGCATGGCAACACACAAAACATCCCTCATACCTATCGTAAAACCACGGTTGATCTGTTCCAATGGTAGTAATGAGAAAAGCATTTTGAAAAGAAATAAATGTGGTCACCGACTTCGAAATGGATACACCGGGTAGTGATTGTTCGGAAGTGTGTAAGTATCAATCACTTGGTCCGCATGTATCAACATTTGTGCCGTTATTACCCAACTACTGAGCAGAGACGACGCATTTTAGGAAGAAGCCGCTTCACTACTTTCTCCTGGCTTGTCTACCTAGGTGTCACATGATACCCTGACCAGAAGATGGCCGTGGTTTTATGGCCTTTTTATTCGTACTGAAAGTATTGCTCACTGGTTCCAAGTTTAACTCCGTTAAAATTTTCTGCACGTTATTCCGTTTATGTCAGATTGGAGGTGCATGTCATACGAGGGATATTTTGTCGCTTGGTAAATCTCGCAAAGAGTTTCAAATCTCAGCCTAATCATGCATGATTCAATCATATAATCAACTGGATTGCTCTTCGGTATCATTAAGTCACTTATCGATGACAGATTAAACAACCCTCTATGCAAAAACCCTCTATGAAAAAGAGTAATATGTTGCTACAATTAATAGGTATGGTGAAGCGAAGACGTTTCGGCTCAATCTGATAAAGTGTTTCTGCGACTAATATTGATTATTGCGTAATTTCATCCACCAGCATATTGAAACCTGGATCCAGGTGGAATAAGAGGCCGCCTACACAATCTGTTCAAGCCACTCCTAGAAAAAATTGTTGATATTTTGATAGACCGCGCAATGATATCACATTGAAAACTTCACCGAACCGTAGGAACTTATCTGATATTAACAGACTCGGTCGTTGGAACATAAACCTCATTAAGCATAATGTGATTTAGAGTAAATACCCAGCTACTAATTACTGGCATTTCATCATTCGAAATATTTAGTCCTTCAGGACCCTCGACGGCAATTAAGTGTTGGAAATTATGCAAAGTAATAATATAAAATTTAGTAATTACGCCGTATACACTTTTTGTTATCTGTTCAAGCATTGGTAACTAGCTAAACGCATCAAGATTTCCTTATAAATTCAACTGGGATAGTAGAGTTGAAAAGGTCAGCTACTAAATATCTCTTCCTGAAATGATTAGTTGAAGCCAGTAAGATGAAGTGAGTATTTAGGTCACCAAACTTTACGCAGCTCCGTGAGACCAACCCGCTAAGTTGCTGGATCTGTGCTTAATTGTCGCCATCTGCGCAAATATACAGAAAGCCGAAATTCTCATTTTAGCTAAAGTGGCGTTCAAATTACTCTAAAGAACCTGCACCGTTTGTCACTGTTTGCGTAAAAGTCAAACATACACGTTTCCATATTGGGGCCTAGTGATTTACCGCAGGTAAACCGAAACTCTGATCATAAGCGTCATATGACATCTGGTTTGAGGCCGCACATTTCGAACGGATTAAGTGCGAGTCTACACATGATATCGCCTGAGTCTGTATACGGTGAAAGCTAGTGTGACTGCAACTACTGTTGATGTAAATATTTCACACTATAAATCATACGGTGATTTGTGAAATGACCAATCGGAATTCCAAAACATATGATGATGTCTAATTCAGTGCTAACTGATACAACCAATTATTTATTAGAAAGAAGTAATTGAATTAAAAAGTAGTGTATCATGGCACATATACCGTACCCGTAGTTTATGTGTTGATCGATTACTGAGACTGGTACGTTGTAGATTAGTGGGGTGAAGCATCTTATTTTTTAACTCAGTTGTGCATTGCGTTAGATACTTCCGTCTAATTGTTACTGATTCCTGAAGTATTAAATTTCAGCTAATATTCCTGATGGAGAATTCAGTGAGTAATACTACCGTTGATATATTCGCTGAAGTAATTTACCCAATCCGGTGTTGACATGGTTTTAAACAGCAGCACGGACGCGCTTTATTCACACTAGCTACTTGAATGCCTTCTGCATTTATGTTACGAATAAATAGTCACAAAAGTGCCATGCAAATAAGCCTAGTCAATCCTGTAAAACACGGGATCTACAACATAGTGCTGCAACATTACTGAATTCGTGGGCCTGTAGCCCACTATGTTAAATTAACTAATATGGTTCAGTAATATTTCAGTTTTGTTAAGCAAAAACACTATTACTATGACGAAGCCTTATTCATTATTTTAATTGCATGATGTGCACCTGCTTTACACTGCCATGGACAAGTATATTGCTGAAACAAACCTGCCGTTCAAGTATGCTTGTATTTTAGAAGCCGTGATGAAGTGTCGCTTCGATGCAAAATGATACACGTTGTGCCCTTTGATGGTCGCGACATTCTCATGGCTGAATTGGTTTCATTAATGCGTAGTGGGAATTTTGATATATTCAGTGGTAATTCTTCATAGTCAACCCTCAGTAAGCAAGCGTTAACTAGTCTGGAAAAGCACCAGACAACGCTGTTTCGACCTATTAGGTCTCATCAGTACTGCGCCTTCCATCAGACTGCTGCCGCATTCCAACCCCATGAATTCCGGATGACAGCTGCTAGTGCCACTTAGACATGGGTGATGGCTTGCACCCCTACAAGCAAACTCTAAACACCGCCTGATCAGTCAACTAATCTGTGTGACCGGCGTGGTGCGCACACGGTTAGACTCAGCCAACTTACGGTCAACATTAACGCTGTCTCTACGTTGGCCTCGAATATTACGGTAACCTTCACAATCGACACTTGCTCCGAAAAATAAACCTAGTAGTCTAAAGCTGGTGCACCGCACCGCGTTCCCTTCAGGATAGAATTGTGGCATAGCCCTTAATTTGGAAAACGTGCTCAAACAGCCTTAGAATATTCCGTCTTGAATGTAGGGGGGAGTGAGTCCTATAAATAAGGTGGCACAACAATACATCCGGTGTTTTTTGTCTTGTAAAACAGGACGTCCTTTTAGTTGTCAAGTGTTTATGTGCGATAGGTTGACTGAAACAATCAAACATCAAATGAATACCAAAATTACACGCCCGAAAGCGAATATGATCACGCTCGTACCTCAAATAGCCAACTCAATTTTCACCTCAAGGCTCGAAGAAGATAGCCAAATGTTCTAGATGTTCTGCATCGGCTGACTGTCCAAAATTCTCTGACCGACCTCACTTTCCTAAGGGGACAAATTTTGATCACTCCTGTATCCACTTCTTCAAGAAGTGCAGCCAACATTGAGCCTGTGTTGACGATGGTAACCGCAAGCTTAATTCAGCCCACCATCGAAAATCAAAGCATTATAAGCATTGCTTGTCTTCGTACAAAAATGGGAGAAAATGGTGCAGACTGTGGTAGCTGCACTGAGAGTTGCGTTCCGAAACTTCCGAACTTCGCTAAACCGTAAAAGCGGTATCTGTTAAAAGACTCATCTTGCATTGGAAAGAAAACACACATTCGTTATCAGTATACACCTTAGCTGCAGGTGGAAAACACCTCCGCTATTGTGCCGCAATACAAAAGACAAAAAAATGTCAACAGTGGCATGTTGGCTGAGTCCCCACTAAGCAATGGACGTCGTTCCGGAGAGCTAACAGCCGGCCATCGTGCAACA